AAAAAAAATCTAGACAAAAAAATCAAATTTATCCGATAAAAAAACCGGACGAAAAAAAGTGCGAAACAAAGAAAAGAAAAACCAAATCCGTCTGATCCAGAAAAAACCGGGCGAAAAAAAATCAAAATTGTCCGATAAAAAAATCGGGCGAAAAAAAATGTGCAAAGAAAAACCAAATCTGTCCAACGCGGAGAGAAAAATGCAAAAAGAAAAGAAAAAAGGAATGTCGGACCCTCATTAATTGACGCGGAGAAAAAAAAATCTCCCAGATCGCTCTGGTCGTTCGTGATAAAAAAAAGAGTAGGGGGAAAAAACCGGATCACTCACGAGAATAAAAGAAGACCGCAAAACCAGAATCTAATCTAACTTCTTAACGAGAGAAGTTTCCATCGTCCGCTAAAAATAAAAAATGCGCAAGAAAAAAACAGTTTCCAAATAACGCTCGAAAAAATACGGTTTCCTTTGTCTGAAAAAGCAAAAAAAAAAAAGAAGATATTAAAAACGGTTAGAAAGAAATACGCCATTTCTAAAAATGGTTTGAGAAAACCGCACAAGAAAAAATCACCGTTTATAAAAAAACAAGCCGCTCTGAAAAAAACTACCAGAAAAAAACACCGTTTATAAAAAAACAGATCCAAAAAACAATCAGACTCAACGTGAGAAAAAACCAAAACTGTTGTTTCTAAAAACGATTCGAGAAAACCGTTCGACTCAACGCGAGAAAAAAAACCGCTTTTCTAAAAAAAAGTCAGAGAAAACCATCCGACTCAACACAAGAAAAAAAACCACTGTTTATATAAAGAACCGCTCTGAAAAACCGAAAAACCGTCCGACTCAATGCGAGATAAAATTGATATATGCTTGGGTCGGATAAGATCCATCGATTTTTTTTCTATCTCCTACACATCATTTGATTCCTCATCTCATCTAATCTCTGGTATGCAATTATGATTATCGGACTATTTTTGTTAAGTATAGATACTATTCTTAATAACATATTATATGGAAATAATATTAAAAAATAAACATATTTTTAATTGTTATTTAGAGAAAAGTGCACGGTGACTATTTTGTGTAGACTTGACCCAGAGTGTAGGATTTGATTAACCTATTATTGGTTGCAAGAATAAGATTGAAAGAGTATTCTAGATTATATGCATGTTGTTACATGAATAATCCAATTATTTTAGATAAAGCAAGTATTGGTAAGATTGCCATCATCGAGGTTAAGTCATTATATGAAGATGTTCTAATTTTCTAATTATGTTAGTTACAACGATCCATACAAATATATTGATATGGTTATGCATGAAAAGTGTATATTGTAATTGGATTTTTTTTTTACCCGTTGCAACGCACGGGCATTTTTGCTAGTATAAGATTAAAAAAATAAGAAAAGCTTCCTGTTAATCTTTTCGTCCGTCATTAAAGAGTGGGCCACACAATATTTTGTCGCTAATCCACAATCCGAAAGCGTGGCCACGATCTCTTACGCCCGCAAATAAAGGAGAAAAAAAAAAGAGAAAGCCTTGTTTGTTGAGCAGCCCATCTAAAGCAGTCCGTATTGGATTAGTGACGAGTCAGCCCATCCAAAGCAACAGCAGGCCGGCCCAGAGAGCAGCCGCAGCCCACAGAGCGGAGGAGCAGCAGCAGCCCAGCACAGTACTGCGCAACACTGTAGCAACGGAACAGGAATAAAGTTTGGACTCACGCCAACCAGGAATCGGATAAAAAAAAGCAATTTTATAAATGTAAACATGTAGTCACCAACAAAATGAATTATTTACCGATAAAATAAATTATTTTTTAAAATATAAAAAATAATCACATGTGTCTTTCTTTTTTAAAAAGAAAACAAATAATCACCAACAAAATGAATCGTGTTAACATCTGGATTTTTTCCCTCATCAATTGCTCATTCGTCATAGGACACCTAATCACATCACTTTTTTTTCCTTCATGGTATAATTTCTTTTATTATTTAGAGTGAAAGTTATTCTGCGATATACCACATTTTTTTCTTTCCTTCTGATTATTTGAGTGAGCGATTATGCAATTGGAGTGCAGTGAGGTTGATCTGATAGCTAGCAAAAAAATATTTCTTGGATTATGGCTACTCTTTACAGTATGAAAAAAATTGTTTATCAATATCGAGTGCCAAAAAATAACAAAGTACTGCAATTGACTCATAATAATACATGACAAAAAAAGTAAATATTTTTTGTGGTTTCAAACTTCAGTATCCATGTCAGTGGATTTAGAGCAGCAAATAATTATATCATGTTAGCGTCTTATTTGCACTGGAAAGATTCGATTCGACTATAAAGACCTCAATTAACCTGGTGGTTTTATGCTTCCACACACTAATTATTATTTTCTTCTTGATTCTATCAATTTTTTTGGAACATGACCTACAACCAGCAAAGAACTTGAAATTGATTTTATCTGTGTTTGAAAAAATATCTGGCCTGAAAATAAATTTTCACAAAAGTGAGCTATTCTATTTTGGGCAGGCAAAAGAGTGCCTTGATCAATATTCTTCTATATTTGGTTGTAAGCTAGACTCTTTTCCTGTTAAATATCTTGGAATTCCAATGCATTTTAGGAAGTTGAGTAATAATGATTGGAAGGTTATTGAACAAAGAATAGAGAGGAAACTTAGTAGTTGGAAAGGTAAACATATGTCTGTTGGAGGTAGATTGGTTTTGATTAATTCTGTCCTTTCAAGTTTAGCTATGTTCATGATTTCTTTCTTTGAGATTCCGAAAGGGGTTCTTCATAAGATTGATTATTATAGATCATGTTTCTTTTGGCAAGGGGATGACCATAAGAAAAAATATAGACTAACTAGATGGGATATAATTTGTCAACCCAAAGACCAGGGTGGATTGGGTGTTCATAATTTAGAGATCCAAAATAAATGTCTATTGAGTAAGTGGTTATATAAGTTAATTAATGAGGATGGTGTTTGGCAAGATTTATTGAAGAGGAAGTATCTTCATAATAAATCTATAACCCAAGTGGATAGGAAACAAGGTGATTCTTATTTTTGGTCAGGGCTTATGAAGGTAAAAAACATCTTCTTAAGTATGGGCTCTTGGATTGTGAATGATGGTTAACAGATAAGATTCTGGGATGATAAATGGCTAGGTAATATAGCCTTCAAAGATAAGTATCCATCTTTATATGCTATTGTCAGAAGGAAGAGTGCCTCTATTGCTAGTGTTATGGGTTCTGTTCCGCTAAATGTTTCTTTTAGGAGAGCTTTAGTTGGGCAGAATCTAACACTTTGGTATAATTTGTGTGCTTCCATTGCTCATATCCAGTTGGATGATTCTACTGATTGTTTTAGATGGAATTATCATCAAAATGGCCATTTTTCGGTAAAGTCAATGTACTTAGCCTCAATTAGCAATGGTTACATTGATAGAAATAAGTTCATTTGGAAGCTTAAGATGCCGCTTAAGATCAAGATCTTTATGTGGTATTTGCTCAAGGGAGTCGTCTTAAGAAAGGATAATCTTGCACGACGGAATTGGAATGGGGGTTTAACATGTTGTTTTTGCATGAAAAATGAGACGATCCAACACTTGTTTATGGATTGTCATTATGCAAAGTTTATTTGGAGAGCTGTTCAATTTTCTTTTGGATTACATCTTCCTAGAAGCATGCCTCATATGTTTAATGGTTGGCTTCAGGGTGTGGACAAGGACAAGAGAAAGTTGATACTTGTTGGTGCCTCTGCTTTATGTTGGGCCCTGTGGTTATGTAGAAATGATAGGGTTTTTGACAAATCACCATCTGTTTCCTATATGCAGGTAATTTTCAGGGCAACATATTGGCTTCGGCTGTGGGCTCAACTATAAAAGTGTGAGGAAGATGGAGTTTTCCTAAATGTTGCATGTCGTACTCTTGAGTCAACGGTTATACAACTTTTTGCCAACCATGGATGGAGATTTTCTAATAGGCTGGAATAATGTTTTCCTTGTCATGTTAGGTCTTTCTTTTAATTTTGGTTGGTTTGATAGTTTTATCTTGAATTAAGACTTTATAAGTGTGTTACTTTTTATAATAATTGGTTGTAGCTCTTCGGAGTAAAGGCCGGGATGTTTCATTCCATTATCTAAAAACCCAATGCAACGCATGGGCATTTTGCTAGTCTCGAAAAAAATAGAAGTGGTTATAAGAGCATCATCAACATTATCTCTATATTTTGTACCCAAATTATTTTCTATGAGAACCCTAAACAAGATTTAAGATATAAAAATGTTGATACCTTCAAGAGATTGGTTAAAATTGAGGATAATTTGCCTTTGTATGAACTTGGTAGATGGCGACTGCAAGTCGATATAACTGGATTTTAGGCACATCGACAACGGCCTCGGCGTTGGTGGCAAGTTGTCTGTCGATTACCTCACCGGTGGGTCCGAAATGGTCGACAAATGCGATAGCAATGGTGGAAACAACAACGGTCTGGTGAGCGACAACGAGTCCTACGGCCCCAGTGTGCTACTCGTGGCTCTCTTCAGAAGAAGGGAGCTGCCAACCGGTTGTGGGGTTTAAGAAATATGCAACTCTATTATGATTGATTGCAGTGGAGATGAGTACAACGGCATCAATGGATGACTTCGCAAGGAAGTTCCTGGCTGTAGCATTTCATGATCGCAATGGGAAGAAGCACTGAGATAAATGGAAAAAGCGCAGATCGATTTGAGAGCGAGAGACGCAGTGATGAGAACGCCTAATTTTTAGGAGATGTTTAGAGATACAGTTGGAGCAAAATTTGTGTTTAAAATCATAAATTCTAATATTGGAAATGATTTACCCAATGTCTCGTTCTAATCTCTCCCTGATGCTCAATACAGGCGACATATATCATCTATATACTATAATATAAAAAAGAGGAGTTGTCCCGCTCCAATGCTACAGGCCAAATCATCCGGACTAATCTGGACCGTCCATCCAGGCGCAGCTTATTCCACCGCACGATTTGGCTTGCACGCCGATTCGCCGAAGACATCGCTCCTCCGTCCTCATCCACCCGCTGCCGCGAAGACGTCGCTCCTCGACTCCTCCTCGCTCGCTCCTCCTCCTCCCCGCGTCCTGGCAGGAGATCCTCCCCGCTCCTCCGCGGCCACGCCGGAGCCGCCGCCGCCACCGCTCCTCCGCGGCCACTCCGGAGCCGCCGCCGCCGGGTCCTTCTTCCTCCCCATCGACGCGGCCGGCCTCTTCGCTCGCGCCTCCTCCTCCCCGCTGCCGCCGCTCCGCCGCATCCTCGCCGGATCTCTGCCGGATCTCTGCCGGAGCTCCGCCTTGGTCCCTCATCAAGTCCCTAATCCCTAATCTTCTTCCTTGAGCATTGGCCTGTACCATGATTTTCCTTTTTTTGTTGAAGCCAGGTCGGCCAAACTGCAAGTGACCCATTGATTATGTTATTTGGTACTCTCAGACCACATATATATTCTTCCTTCCATGTTGGTTCAGCCATTGCTTCATGCTTGCTTTACTTTGAGTTTTGTTTGCTCCGATCTAACATTCACATTGTTTTTGTGCGTTGAGGACTGGGGCGGGCTTCTGTTTTATTTAGTGCCTCAACTTGATTAAGCCACAAAATTATGCACTTTGTATGGCAAAGGTAAAGCACTTTGTTGTCATGGGTTGTTTTAAATAATAATGGATCCCCTTTTTTCTAGCCTTGCAGATTGTCATGTTGCTGGAATTGTAAGCGGACTGACGAATTCAGGGGTTTGTCATTGCTCGAATACCATTATATGCATTGTTTCAAGTTGCAGAACCATACTATTTTTTTTACGAAAATGCTGAACCATACTATTATCATTTACAGAATATATATTTATACATTTATGTGTCCATCCATACTCTTTATAGGTTATTCTCAAGTCTCAACTACCAATGTCTCTACAGGAACGAGCTCCACTTGATGATCTTGCTAATTCCAAGTGCCATGACATTATCAAGCTCTAAGCAAGGCCATGGGCTATGGCGATCTGGGTAAGCAGAATATATTTGTCTTTCTATATACCTCAGCCCATCAACCGTAACTTAGCAAAAGTACCTGTCATCTGGCTTGGGAGGCATTACTGAATCTCACCTATGCAATTTGATGAACTGACATTCATGTTTTGCTATATACTTCCTATCACTAGAATTCCTGTTACATTATATATATGCGCATACATTCTTGTGTAGCTACTAGGTAGATATTTCTTCTAATGATACGGTTGTCAGAATCAATGGCATTCAACTGATCAGTTCAACTTCATGCATTTCGTGTCAGAAGGGAACATATGAGAGTTAACATGTATACGGCATATTGTGTTGATTGCCCATAAACAGCTAGCCCAACATTCTTCTGCTCTGCTAGCTGATTGCCCATAAACAGCTAGCCCAACATTCTTCTGCTCTGCTAGCTATAATTTGGATCCTAACTTCAGTGTGAGATATATGCGCAGTTACAAGTTGAACTACTATTAGTTTACTAGGACGGCCTGTCATAACAAGCTATAGTTCTATGAATTTTTTGAAATAAAAGATGATCCATTTGTGAGTTCCATTGTTTGAGACTAAAAGAAATACAGATTGCAAGAGCAAAAGGCAATAACGTGAGGAAGGGAGAAAAGTTGTTTTCAGCACAATAAGTCTGTGACCATGTTTTCATAGGAAACTCATTATAAAGAAATGAAATGGAAACAACTTTCCATGGTGATTTCATTGACCATTGCTCAGATCAATGACACAAATGATGTAGGATACCAATGCAGTAATCCACGAAGTGAAGAATGCATGATTCAGTTGGTGGAAAGGCAATACATGATGAAGATGATTTGTACAACAAATTGGCTTATGTAAAATTAATGCTCTTTTCTCATTTGGTGTTTTGTATCATTGCAATACTCCAGCTGTTGTAATTAATCAAGTGTTACCAATGTTGAAGTGGTCTGCACCTTGTAGCAATCTAGCAGAGCTCTAAATTTTGTTCTGTGCAAAATTTGGGATAAAGTGAGAGAATGGGATCCTGTTTACAAATGTCAAATAAATTAGCTATAAAAAAAATCCAAGCAGTTTAAAACCAGAGCAAGGTATTCCCTTCAGTTTTATTACGCCCTTTCCACATAGGAGACGGTTATAAATTCTAAGAAATTGCATTTCCTTCAGTTTTATCCCCCCCTCCCCCCCGCGCGCGCTTTTCACATAGGAAACAGTTAGAAATTATGTACACAACATCAACAATTTGTATTTACACCAAGTTTTTCTGAATGGTGTAGTACTCAATGGGGCAGATAAAAAAAAATCAAAAAATGATGTCACACCTTGACGCATGAAATTACCACCACCTTTTTAAATATATAATGTTGTTGATTTTTGGACATGACATTTGACCATTTGTTTTATTAAAAAAACAATGTAAAGTTAAGTCATGCTTAAAAGTCCTTCTAAGCATGACTTATATTTATATCTTTACGTATTCATGCTAAAATTTTGAATTAGACAAATATTCAAATGTCATATCCAAAAGCCAACAATATCATATATTTAAAATGCAGAGAGTACATTTGTTATTTATTTGTTTCTTAACTGATTCCATTTATAATTTATTAAATATTACACTATAGATGTATGTTTTATTACCTATGTGGATTCCACATGTTCACTTACATTGACTTATTAAAATGTCCATCCTATCTTTGGACAATATACCACCGTAAATTTGGTTTTTGATAGAATATATTCTTACAATTGTATTACACTGGACTTAATTCATATTGGTCATGACGTGCATTGCACGTACACGATTACAAGTGACTTTAAAAAAAACCTTCACTGACATGAATAAAAACACGACCCAAATACACTAGTGCGCTGACTGTTTTTTTACCCCGAAAGCTATCCCATTTCCTTCCCACAGTCTTTACCCTTTCCCTTTTCCTTTTCTTTTTTAAGCCTTTACAGAGTCTTAACTTATTAAATGGCCATTAAGTTAGCAATCATCACAAACATGCTTAATATTCCATAATCATATGAACATGGTTAGTAGGAGTCCCTAGAACCTCCCGCAACAAATACCCCCTCCTTCACCCCTCTGGACGCGACGCCGGCATCAGTAATTGAGCGCCGCGGCGGCGGAGGCGGGCGAGGCTGCAGACGCCGACGAGGGCTGAGCCGGACCCACCCACCCACCGAGCGCCGTGGCTTGGGCGGCCGGGGAGAGGGAGGGAGTGGTTGGTGAGCTCTAATGGCGGGCCTCCCCTTTCTCCTCGCGCTCCACATCGCACTGCTGCTGCTTCTTCCCTGCTCCTGCCAGGTACTCCTCCCGATTAACCGCTTCTTTCATCCGATTCTTGTCGCAATTTGTTGCTCGAGCTACTACTTCTTTGCCCAATTCGATCTGCCTGCCCCGCTGCTGCTGTTCCAGCACTTCTTGATGCGTTGGTTATGTATGCAGGTTGGGGATTCGTGCTCGTCGGCGCGCGACTGCGGCGCCGGCCTCTACTGCGGCAATTGCGCCGCCACCGGCAAGACCCGGCCGTCCTGCATCAGAGACCTGGCGATCCAGCCTACCTCCATTGTACTAATTCTCATCGCTTCTCCTCCTCTGCAGCTTCTCTCCTGTTGTGCAACAAGTTTTTCTCATCTCACATGTTCTGTTGTTACATCCATGCTTGTTTAGGTGAAGGGACTGCCCTTCAACCGCTACTCATGGCTGGTCACCCACAACTCCTTCTCCATCATAGGCGAGCCGTCGCACACCGGAGTCGAGAGGGTCACGTTCTACAACCAGGAGGACACTGTCACTAACCAATTGAGGGTAGCTTCTGGATCTCTGACCAGATTCTTCACTTACTCCTGTATATGTGAACTGTTATAGGATGAGTATATTTCTTGCTTTGGATGTTGGGTGTTTGCAGAATGGAGTGAGGGGATTGATGCTGGATATGTATGACTTCAATGATGATATCTGGCTCTGCCACTCCTTGCAAGGCCAATGCTACAACTTCACTGCTTTTGTAAGTTCTATTCATTGCCCATACTAGAACTAGATATGTGCCATTTCATATCTATTTAGGAAAAGCCAAATTCAAATATAATTCGGGCGGGCCTTGCTTCAGTAGTTCAGTACACCTATTTTAAAATCTTTGTGCATCCTAAAGCAAAAGTAGTTAGTTTAGAGGGAAATATGGAGAAACAATAGTTAGTTGGATTTGCTAAGATTTTTCTGAATGCCCAGCTCAAATTTTGCCCAGCCCTATAAACTGCACAATTGAAAACTGGTGAGTATATGCTTGTTGTAGAATTGAGGTGCATCTTCTACCTGTTTTCTTGTCAGATAGCTCTGATACCTAAACACTATCTTAATCTAGTCTTGAATGCCGATACTCTGTCAGAAAGAAGACATCACGCATTAATTAGCCCCTACAAGGCCTACTGCCTGATCATCATTGGTACTTCTTCAAACCCTACCAAAGCGTGGGTAAATCTGTAATTGCACACTTCTTATCTAAAAGTTGAAAGGCCCTTGCCATGTAAAATCTAAAGGCAGTGGAACTATGCTGGACTAACAACTAAAAATGTTGGACAAGGATAAATTCGTCTCAGTACAAAACTATCCTTTATCATTACTAACCAAAGTTGCTTTAAGATCGAATGTTTCTTAAAATAGATTTGTGCTAAAGATTAAAGAAAGGCGCGTGCAATTTAGATAAGAAGTCCTGCACTGGTTGCTTTGTTATTCCAATCGTCTCCTGTATTTGGGGACAACATTTTCAATAAGATTTCCTTTGAGGTAATCAATTGTATTGGATAAGTTTAGTAAACATGAGTTGGTTATTGTTTTGCTTTTTGGAATCTATTCATCGTTATCTTTGCTAACAGTCTGTTTACACTCTAAAACTAATGTTTAAATGAAATATTATGTTAGCAACCAGCAATTGACACATTGAAAGAGGTGGAAGCATTTCTATCTGAGAATCCGACAGAGATAATAACAATATTCATTGAGGATTACGTCCATTCAACGATGGGATTGAGCAAATTGTTTACTGCTGCTGACTTGACGAAATATTGGTACCCTATCTCAGAAATGCCAACTAATGGAAAGGACTGGCCAAGTGTCACAGATATGGTTGCAAAGAACCACAGGTTGCTAGTGTTTACTTCTGATTCTTCAAAGGAGGCTAGCGAAGGAATAGCATACCAGTGGAGTTATCTGCTGGAGAATGAGTGTAAGTATGGCTTTCTCTGCTTTAATTCTTATCTATGTTTAATCATATTAACAGCGATAGCTATGTGATACAGATCTACATACCACTGAATCTTCCTGATTCATAGGTGTGAACAGTGATATAGCAGCCACTTTTAGTTCACTATTTTAAGAAACATTGCTTGCTAAAAAATGTTAAATTCTTTGGCACAGGCATTTGTTTTAGCTTTCTCAGTAGTCAGTTATTGAGATGTCTGAATTTTTCATTAGGACTAGTTTGTGTTGTCAGTGTGCACATCCAAGATCTATATATACCGGTATTAACATTGTATCAAGTTGCCTTACAGATTTCCTGATGAGATAGGATTGAATATGAATTATTGTATTATGGTTTAAGAAAATATATTGTACAGAGCAGAAACAGACAATATGTAAACCATCTGTCCATCTGTAGTTAACACAATATTGTACTACCTCCATATTTTAATGTATGACACCGTTGACTTTTTGTCCAACGTTTGACCATTCGTCTTATTCAAAAAAAATTATGTAATTATGATTTATTTTATTGTGACTTGATTCGTCATCAAATGTTCTTTAAGCAGGACATAAATATTTTCATATTCGTACAAAATTTTTGAATAAAACAAATGGTCAAATGTTGGTTGAAAAGTCAACGACGTCATACATTAAAATACGGAGGGAGTATTTGTTAAGCTAGCTCTCTTTGAAATTTTTGCTTATTCACTGGGTAATCACATAAAGCACAACATATGCTTCTTTTGCCGGTAGTCAAGATCAAGAAAAGGTAGTGGTTGCTAATCAAAAGTAGTGTTTCTTTTCAAATTGTCTGTGAAATGCTTGCCGTTCTGAATTTCTGTAATGAACTGACTTCAAATATGAATGTTTAATGGAAATCAGAAAAGAAAAACTAAACAGCATGATTTGAATCCACTGCCCACCCTTCTAGAGTTTGATGTGTTACTACTAAAAAAGAAACCCCCCCCCCCCCCCCGCGTCGCCCACGCGCTGGCGACACGGGGGGCGAAACCCTAGCAGCGCCGCCGCCTTTCCTCTCCCCCCTCCCCCACCCTTCTAGAGTTTGATGTGTTACTACTAAAAAAGAAACCCCCCCCCCCCCCGCGACGTCGGCGTGACGAGGCGTCGGCGACGGCGCGGCGTCGGCAGCAGAGGCGGCGGCGACGGCGACGACTCGCACGGCATCCGGCGGCGGCCACCACGACGGCGAGATGCGCGCGGGCGGCGGTGCTCGCGCCGCCGGGGGCGAGCGACGGCTGCAGCACCGCCGGCCCTGGTGGTAGCGGTCCGAGCGACGGCGGCGACGGCGGAGCGAGGCTTGCGGAAGGCGGCGACCGGCAGCGCGGCTGGTGATGGGCAACGGCGGCGGTGCCAATGGCAACCGCGGCTGCGGCCTGAGGCACCAGCGGCAACGCCGTCGGTGTGGAGGCAGAGGCCTCGGAGCTCGTCACAGCGGCGGCGTCAGTGGCTGCTGTGGCACGGTGGGAGGAGGCGCGGTGGTGCGTTTGGCAGCAGTGGCTGCGGTTGTTAGAATTTCAATGGTTACTCTCATTGAGAAGAGGATGGCACTCGAGATGGGGCAATTTTCTGGTTTTCTTCATTCACTAAACACAAAAGCCATATCCTCCCAAAGAGGATTGGATACATATTTATAGCTGCTTGTAGCAGCCATGCAGCCATGCTAGTCTAAGAGGGTGCTGTCAGCATCCCAACAAACTGTCCTAGAGCATCTCAACAAACTGCTGTCCTAACTGTCCTAGAGCATCCAAACTGAAAGTAGAGATGCTGTCCTAGAAAGCTGAAAAACAGGAAAAAGGCACCACAAGACCAAGACCAACCAGCCAAGACTTATTCCTACATTCTCCCCCTAAGTCTTGTGCGCCGTCTTGTGGGAGAGTTGAGCCATCCCGATCCGGGAGCAAAGCTCAAGGAACTTGATCCTCCCAAGGGGTTTGGTGAGCAAATCCGCAAGCTGGTCCTTGGTGTTGATGTAGCTCGCCTTGATGCTCCCTTCCTCCAAGTAGCTTCTGATGAAATGGTACCTCACTCGGATGTGCTTGCTCCGTTCGTGAAAAACGGGGTTTTTTGCCAGGGCCAGAGCGGACTTGCTATCCACCCTGAGCTCCACCGCTCCAGTATCTCTGCCGAGGAGATCACTAAGCAGTCGAGCAAGCCAGAGCGCCTGGGTCGAAGCGGCGGATGCCGCCATGTACTCGGCCTCGCAGCTGGACAGGGCCACCACCTGCTGCTTGATTGACTGCCAGCTAACGAGGCACTCGCCGAGGAAGAAGAGAATCCCGCTCGTGCTCTTGCTGGTGTCGATGTCGCCGGCGTGGTCGCTGTCGCTGTACCCGACGAAGTGTGCCTTGCCAGGACACCTCGGGTAGTAGAGACCGTGGTCGAGAGTCCCCGCAACGTAGCGGATGATCCTCTTCACAGCCTGCTGGTGCTCCGTCGTCGGTCGCTGCATGAACCGACTGACGTAGCCGACGGAGAAGGCCAAGTCCGGCCGTGTGTGGGTGAGGTAGCGAAGGCTCCCCACAAGACGTCGGTACTGTGTAGCATCCACCTCCTCCGCTGTGCTGTCGCGGCTCAGCTTCAGTCTCTCCTCCATCGGAGTGAGAGCTGGGTTGCAATCGGTGAGCCCAGCCAGCTCAACGACGCGCTTGGCGTAGGCGGTCTGTCGAAGCGTGATCCCGGAGTTGTCCTGGTGCACTTCGATCCCCAGGTAGAAGGAGAGAGGCCCCAGATCACTCATCTGGAAGGTGGCCTTCATCTCCTCCTTGAACGCCGCGACCTCTGCATCCTTGGTGCCGGTGATCACTAAGTCGTCGACGTAGACACCCACCAGCAAGGCATTTCCTCCATTGCCCCGCCGGTAGATGGCCGCCTCGTGCGGGCTTTGCTCGAAGCCCATCCCCTTGAGCGTGGAATCCAACTTGGCATTCCACGTCCTCGGTGCCTGCCGCAAGCCGTAGAGGGCCTTGTGCAGGCGTAGCACCTTGCCCTCCTTGCCGGGGATCACAAATCCCGGCGGCTGGTGCACGTAGACCTCCTCCTTCAAGTCGCCGTTTAGAAACGCCGACTTGACGTCCATGTGATGGACGCCCCAGCCTTCCTGAGCAGCCAGCGCAAGAAGGAGTCGCACGGACTCCATCCGTGCCACGGGAGCGAAGGCATCGTCGTAGTCGATCCCCTCCTGCTGCACGAAACCGCGTGCCACCAAGCGAGCCTTGTGCTTGACGATGGCTCCGGCTTCATCCCTCTTCAGCTTGAACACCCACTTAAGGGTGATCGCGCGGTGACCACGAGGGAGGTCAGCAAGCTCCCAGGTGCGGTTCTCCTGAACCGCGTCCATCTCCGACTGCATCGCGGCACGCCATGCCGCGTGTTTCTCGGCCTCTGCAAAAGACCGAGGCTCACCGTCGTCGCACGCAAGGTGCAACTGCGCCTCCAGGTTGCGAGGCACCAGTCCCGGCACCGGCTGGTCGCCGAGAAGATCCTCCATCGTACGGTACCGTAGCTGCTCGCCGTCATGGTACGCGTCGATGCGCTCCCCGTCGTGGGAGAGCGGAGTAACGAACTCCACCGGGCTGCGCTCAACACGAGCTGGCGTCGGAGTAGACGTGCCCGGAGGAGTGGCTGTTGGTGCTGGAGCGTGTGGGGACACCGGCTGGGGTGGTGTCGACGAAGAGCTCGTCGTAGTCGAAGTCGTGGCCCGAGGGTGTGTTGGTGTTGGAGTCGGTGGAGGCTCGGGGACTGGGGTAGACACGCTCGGTGAAGAAGAGCTGCCTACTCCCCCAGCTCCCTCGAAGTGGACGTACTCGATGGTGAAGTCGTCGTACGTCGGAGTCGAACCATCATCCACCGCCTTGTCCCATACCCACCCTCGCCCTTCGTCGAACACAACATCGCGCGTAATGCGCACACGCTGTGTCTCCGGGTCGAGGATGCGGTAGGCCTTCGAGCCCTCCGCGTAGCCGATGAACACCCCTGGGGTGCTCCTGTCGTCGAGCTTGCCGATGTGGCCAAGCTCCTTGGTGAACGCGAGGCAGCCGAAGACCCGCAGGTGGGAGACCGCCGGCTTGCGCCCATGCCAAGCCTCGTACGGTGTCCTGCCATCGAGGGCCTTGGTAGGCGAGCGGTTGAGGATGTAGGCGGCCGTCACCACCGCCTCCCCCCAGAAGATGGCCGGCATCCCCCTCTGCTTGAGGAGGGCCCGAGCCATCTCCACAACCGTCTGGTTGCGCCGCTCGACGACGCCGTTCTGCTGTGGGCTGTACGGCGCGGTGTAGTGGCGCTGAATGCCCTCATCAGCGCAGTACGACGCGAATTCAGCCGCCGTGAATTCGCCGCCGTTGTCGGTGCGCAGCACGCGCAGCTTGCGGCCGCACTCCGCCTCTGCTGCAGCCTGCGCATGCCTGATGGCGTCCGCAGCCTCTCCCTTGCTGCCGAGGACCATCACCCACATGTAGCGGGAGAGGTCGTCGACGAGCAGCAGGAAATAACGTCGTCCTCCTGGTGTGGCCGGTGTCACTGGGCCACACAAGTCCCCGTGCACGAGCCCGAGCCGCTCCTTGGCTCGGAAGCTCGTCTGCTGGGGAAAGGGGAGCCGCCGCTGCTTTGTCACCACGCAGACGTCGCAGAGCTGCTCCACGTGGTCAAGGCACGGCATGCCTCGCACCATCTCCTTGGCACTGAGCTGCTTCAGGGCCTCGAAGTGGAGGTGCCCGAAGCGCTCGTGCCACTGCCACGCCTCGTCGTCCCGACGAGCGGCGAGGCAAACTGGATGTGCGACTTGCGCGCTGAGGATGTAGAGTCGATTAGTGCCTCTGGTTACCTTGGCAAGAAGGCGACAACGGCGATCCCAAATCCTCATGAGTCCGTCCTCGACCAACACGCGTGAGCCGTTCTCATCCAGCTGTCCCACGCTGATGATAGAATTCCTCAACGCGGGGATGTAGTAGACTCCGGTGAGCAGCCTGTGCTCACCGGACTTGGCGGTGAAGGTGACGGAGCCAACACCCTTGATCTCCACGCCGGAGGCGTCCCCGAACTTGACGGTGCCTCGGACGCTGGAGTCGAACTCGGTGAAGAACTCCCGTCGGCCGGTCATGTGATGGGTGGCGCCGGTGTCGAGGTACCACCCATCAGCCTTGTCGTTGCTGGAGCCGTCGCAGAGGGAGACGAGTACCTTCGGCTCATCAAGGTGGAGGAAAGCCGCTGCGGCCGGTGCCGCTGGAGGTAGCTCGATGCTTGCGTGAGCTAGGAGCAGAGCCGGCTCTTCCTCCTCCACCCGTGCGACGTGGGCCTGGCCGCGTCGTGGCTGTCGACAGTCTTTGGCCCAATGGCCAAGCTTGCCACAGTTGCGGCAGGTGTCGTCTCGTGCCGGCTTGTGGTTGCCGGTGGCAACGCCCTGGGCGCCTCTGCGGGCGCCACCCTCGGCACGTCTTCGCGCCCACCGTAGCTGGACACCTCCCCGCGCCTTGCGCGGCTTACGGCCGCCTGTCGGGGAAGATGACTCCCCCTTCCTCCCGTCACCCTGAGAGGCCTCCCACTGCTCCCGAGTGAGATGGAGCTTCCCGCCGATGGTGATGGGCCCCGAGAGAGGCCGTGGCTCATCACCATCGACGACCTTGAGGCGACCTAACGCCTCCTCGATCGACATCGTGGAGAGGTCCAGCAGAGATTCAATCGAGCGAGCGATCTGCCTGTACTTCTCAGGGACGCAGCGGAAGAGCTTCTCGACAGCTCTCTCCTCGTCGTAGGTGTCGTCGCCGTACTGCACCATTTTTTGCAAGAGAGTGTTGAGACGGAGAGCAAAGTCATCAACATCCTCACCTGGCTTGAAGGCCAGGTTCTCCCACTCCTTGCGGAGTGCCTGCAGTGTGGACTTGCGGGCGCGGTCGCTGCCGATGCGTGCCGCAGCGATGGCGTCCCAGGCCTCCTTGGCAGTCCGCTTCTGGGAAAGCGAGAACTGCATCTCGGGCGGAACTGCAGCGATGAGGGCATCCAGTGCCCGCCGATCCTCGTCGTAGTCGACGTCACCGTACCGGACTGCCTCCCACATGTGCCGCACCTGGAGCCTCACCCTCATCACCGCGGCCCACTCGATGTAGTTGGTTTTGGTGAGGGTAGGCCACCCACCGCCGGGACCAAAATCCCTGACCACCGTCTGGACGCCGTGGTGACCATGGCGCCGGTCAGGGGAGAGGGAGCCGTGCCGCCTGCGAGGGCCGCGTGCGGGCTCCGGGCTGCCGCCGGCACGCCCGCGCCCGTCTGGGTTCCCGTCGGCGGGCGCGCGGTCCCTTGGGCCGCCGCCGCCGCCGTGGAGGTGGGCTGCTGCCCACCGCTCTGCTCGCTCCCGTGCCCTTCCTCTTGCCAGCTCCTCAAGCTCCCTGTCAGCGGTGATGTCGCCGGCGATGGAGCCGTTGATGCTGCTGCGCAAGGTCTCAACCTCTACCTCCGCCGCACGTGCCGCATCTTCCGCCGCCTCCGCCTCCGCCTCCGCCCTGGCTGCTGCCAACTCCGCTGCCGCCAGTCTGGCCGCCCTCGCTGCTGCTGCAGCGGTCTGAGCCGTTGCTCGCCTGCGCTCTTCTGCTGCGGCGAGCTCGGCGTCCTGCTGACGCCGAGTGCTCGAGGCGACCGAACGCTGAGACCGAGCGTCGGACATGGCGCACCTCCGGGGGGCTGCTGTGTGGAGAGGGGGAAGGGAAAGGGGAAGGAGGAGCAACCGGTGCTGCTGCTGCTGCTGGCTGAGAGCTCAACCGAGCTTGGGAAGGGGTGGAACAAGAGATGTTTAGCCTACAGGAAAGTGTGGCTCTGATACCAGATGTTAGAATTTCAATGGTTACTCTCATTGAGAAGAGGATGGCACTCGAGATGGGGCAATTTTCTGGTTTTCTTCATTCACTAAACACAAAAGCCATATCCTCCCAAAGAGGATTGGATACATATTTATAGCTGCTTGTAGCAGCCATGCAGCCATGCTAGTCTAAGAGGGTGCTGTCAGCATCCCAACAAACTGTCCTAGAGCATCTCAACAAACTGCTGTCCTAACTGTCCTAGAGCATCCAAACTGAAAGTAGAGATGCTGTCCTAGAAAGCTGAAAAACAGGAAAAAGGCACCACAAGACCAAGACCAACCAGCCAAGACTTATTCCTACAGCGGTGGCGGTGACCATGGTCGCCGGAGGCATGGTGGCCTCGGACGGCTAGCTGAGGGCGTGGCAGATGGCTACATCGGGCCGGCTCGGCGCGAGAGGCGCGAGCGGCGGAGAGGAGGAGCTGTCGGTGGGTGTGGCGCGGTCTTCGGCGCACGAAGACTGGCCGGCGGAGGACGCCGATGCAGGGGTCCCGCATGTCGGCAGAGCTAGAGAGGTGGTGGAGCATCGGTGCGTCAGCCAAGGATTCGCAGGTGGTGAGCGGCGGGTGAAAACCTAGTCCGGCCTTGGCCAGGCCGACAATGATGGTTCATTCCCCCTCCTGAGGGCGTTGTCGTGCTGCCTCACCCCTCAAGGGTGGTTGCCGGGCGAAAGCCTAGTCTCGGCTCCTTTGAGCCCCGACGGACGGTGGCGGCGGTTTTTTTCCGTCGCTTCTCTTCTTGAAGACGTCGTTTTGGCATCCCTTAGAGGGCGATCTTTTCTGTGTTCCTTTGTCGGTATAGCGGCAGTCGGTCACGCTTAGCGGCGGCCGGTCTGGTGCTAGCCTTCTCCCGGGTTGTGTGTTGGCGCTGTCGGTATGTGGGTGGTGGTATATTTTTTTCCTTTTCCTGGTTACGACCCTCCAGGGTTGTAATCTTGTAATTTTTTCCTGCTCTATCAATAGAACTTCGCACCGTCTTGTGCGAGTTGTTCAAAAAAAAAAAATGTGTTACTACTAGAGCACATGGGCCTTTCTGATATAGCTATGGCTGTGGTTGTTGTTGTTATCAATAGCATTAAATTTGAGTACATGTCACAAAAATCCAGGTTTGGGGGCATTTATAACACAAAGTCTTAGGTTTTACAGTTTGTTTCAAGGAACCAAAGTTTTGAATCAAAATGTTTTAGAAAACACTCTTTTTTTCCCGAGTATGTAGGAGGGCTGCATATCATTTGATTACAGAAGAAAGAATTCTGCACAAAATCCACAGACCCCAAAACATTTTTATATGATACTAATTACTAAGATATAATGAAAATATTGCACCTTTTAGTACATAATTACATTGGTAGACCCGCAATCAACATTCTCATCACATATTTTCTCCTTCCTCGTTTTCATACTCCCTCCTTTCCAAAATGTAAGATGTTTTATTTTTGTCCTAAGTCAAAACTTCTTTGATTATAAGTTCATAAGTTTATTTTAGAACTTGTGAGCATATTATCTATAGCAACTTCCTTTTGTGTTCTAATTCTGTAAGACTGCTCTGAATACCTGGTCTACATCAGGATATAGACTGTGCATGTTTAACATTATTTCTTCTCATTATTTATAGTTCAAAACATAGTCCGGGAGTAAATTTATATAGCAGTGTGGTGATTGCTGCACATGCGCTGTCTGAACCAAGTGCTACTTGCATTCACAGCTGTTAACTATCCCGTGTCTAGAGTTTATCTGTATTTGCCAATTTCACCAAGAACAATGGCAAGAGAGCTTACCTTACATCTGAGGTCATTTTTGTTTTCTCATTATCATGGCAGCTGGAGATCCAGGGATCACTGGTTCTTGTCCAAATAGAAAGGAATCACAACCACTAAACTCAAGATCTGCATCTCTGTTTATGCAAAATTACTTCCCCACAATTCCTGTAGAGAATGAAGCGTGTAAAGAGAATTCTGTTGGACTACCACAGATGGTCCAAACTTGCTATACTGCAGCTGGAAATAGAATCCCTAACTTCATAGCTGTGAATTACTACATGGTATTACTTTATCAGCACTGCTCATACAAGAAAATGCATATCTGTTATTGCCATTGTATCCAATGGAAATTTTCTTACTATGGCAGCGAAGCGATGGTGGGGGTGTTTTTGATGTTCAAGACAGGATCAATGGCGTGACACTATGTGGCTGCAACACCATTGCTGCTTGCCAGGTAATTGTGAAGCCAAAAGTGTTATTTGAAACAAAAATAGTAATGCATGAATCTTAGAACAAACTATTCTTACTTTTGAGCATAAAAATTCTAGCACCTCTTTCATTCAATATTGGTGTGTTTCAAGTTGCAATTCTCATGAAGAACTATTTTTACAGGCTGGGGCACCAGCGGGCGCATGCAAGGACACCGGAGCCCCTAACCGGACTTCCTCTTCTGTAAATGGAAACGTATATTCAGGAACTATAGAATTCAAGTCACCTGCTTCAGCAGCCAGCATTTCGAATGCTAACATCCCTAGTAAATTTGTTGGTTTGCTACTGCTAGGTCTTGTGTTGATCATTAAGCCGTTTTGATCTTTCAGGCATTCTTTTTTTCTTTTGATGAGTTTGCCACGTTTCTTTTTCGTTTTTAATGTCTCCTATGTGATGGGATTACAATTACAGTAAGTAATCTTGTTAGCCATCTAGGCTAGAATAGATTCAGAGAGTTACGGTCTGGTCTGTTTGGCTGTCTGACCTGAGAAATTTCCTCTCATGCCTGCTCGATATGTTCTAGGCTAGCACCTTACGTTGTACCCATCACGAAGTAATACAAAGAAATTGAATGGATTAATGGTCCTATGGGTTGGCACCAATGTTCTACACGGTGTGAACTTACACGAAATATGTTAGAATGTTTGAAAAAACAGCCAGTGATCAGTGTGCTGCAAACTTGCAATGGAACTTAAATAGCAGAACTACTTGTTTTTTTCAGAATTTAAAAGACTTAAGTTAAATTAAACGCTCTCACCGTACCGGCTAAGAGCAAGGCTAATAAAACAGCCGACTTATTAGCTATAAGGTTCTTTGTAGCCTTCTCTCTATTCACCCATATAATAGTTAGCTATTTACAATTAATATATGATCCACTTGTCCCTCTTACAGAGAGTTTCTTCGTTCTTGTATCCAAGCCGGCTATAAGTTTACAACCTTTTTCTCCTCTCTCTCCTCTCTTCTCTCCTCTACCTCAGCATTTAGTCGGTTTATAGCCTACTATTATAGTTGCTCTAAGTAATCGGTGATCGTGAAGTGCAACTCATGAAGCGGTTTTATAAGTGCTTTTGCACACGTGGACCATAAGAGAGTAGAGGGCAGTGATGATATTACTAATGGAATCAGTTAAATGATTTTTCTAAAAAAATTATAGTAGTTTCTCGTCTCAAAATAAATCTAACCCTCACCTTCAAAGCTATGGTAGCATTAGTGTCGAGAAAAAAAAATATCACTTGGTGGATTGAAGGCTAAAACATTTTCCAAGAACCAATAACAACATGAGTTGTGGTACTTTTACGTTGTACCAAATTATTTGTTTGATTTATAAAGACACGGTCAGCGATTAATTGATTTTGGGGGAGGGTAGAAAAGATGGTTTGATTTGAGTTTATATACGAAATTCAACCCTTCATTCAGGAAAATAAATATCATAATTAGTGAATATATATTTTGCCGCTCTTCCTTGTCCACGCAGTACTCCAATAGGAAGAGAAGATTTTTGTTTCTCCAGTCAGGAAAAGTGAAATAGATAGTTCCAAAATAGAAATCTTGGATTTTGACGGTAGCATCGGGGGTCCTTTTCGTAGGAATACGTCTCGCGGTTGAAAAATATGTAGGTCAATTATATATATTCGTCAGAATATAATACGAAAAATAGAGGCGAGTAGAAAAGCAAAGCAAGCAGTTAGAAATCCACACGCAAGAAGAGAGGAAAACGTGATCTCACCTGAATAACTCGAGTGAAACAGGGACGTCGGAAGCAGCAGCGCCAATTGGTTGTGCGTCGTCTTGTGTGTCTCTTTCACAGCGACACCCGCCCTTGTTGCGTTGCGTCGGCGTATATGTACGCACGCACGCGCACACGCACACGCAAATTAAGCAGAGCGTTCCGTTGATTTTGCTCGTGGTGTGTGTTTGTGTTTGGTATGGTTTGTTTCTCGATCGGTACATCGCCAACTTCCGCTCGAGTTTATTTTATTTTTCTGAAAAAACTGCTCCCGTATAATTTATTTCGTGCGTGCGTGTTTAATTGTCAACCCATACACAACTTGATCTATGTATGTATTGTACGGTCAAGTAAAAGGAAATTGTGGTATACTAGTATACAATTTAAAAGTTATTATTGCTAGCATTTTTTATTTTTGGGTAGAGCGTTGTAGTAATAATCAATTTCATTGAGTAGATAGAAAAGGAAGCATATGGATGCAGTGGAGATTTTTCTCGTCTCTGGAATCCAGGACGGAGCCGAGCGAGCGGTCCAGGACAAAGAGCGCCCATGTCCATGCCCATCACACATCTCCAGCCGATGGGCCCATGTGATGCGCGTCCCGCAGCCCAGCCGGACCCAGTGGCACCATCCAGCCAGCGTACATCGACGACATGTCAAATGCGTATATAGCCGAGCCCTTCCCCTAGGCCCTCCTAGCTATAGCTATTTCACCGCTTCGCTCCATCCATCCGTTCCGTTTAGTTTGCTCCAAGCGCAAGCGCAAGCGGCGGAGAGGAAGCCATAGCCACCTCCCACCACGCCTTGGCCTTTCCATTACCTACGCCTTCCCTTCCCTTCCCTTCCCTTCGCGCGCTACTTGGAATTGGATTAGCCATAGCCATGGACGCCACGCTGCTCCGCTCCGCCGATGCCGCCGTCGCCGTCCGCTCCACCACCACTGCGCCTCCGCCTCGCCCTCGCCTCCACCGCCCCAGTACCCTCCCCCTCCCGTCCTCCTGCGCCTGCGGGCCCCTCCGCGCCTACGCCGCTCCCGCTGCCCCCGCGCCCGCCGCGGTATAATCCACTTCATTCATTCGACCCCCCCTTTCCCCTTCCCCCCCTCCCTCACCAAATCAACAGCTTCCTTAACAACATCTACTTACTGCTGCTGCTTTTTTTTTTTTTTTGGGGGGGGGGGGCTATATATTCATCTTTTTTCCTCTTTTTTTGCTGGACTACACAACACCGCTCCCATCCCAAATAGTACTCTATTTAATTAGTGCTTTGTTGCTGCTGTTGTTATTGTTGTGTGCTCATCTCAAATTAGTGCTTCTTCTCAAATCTCAACCATATGTGTACCTTTCTTCCTTTTCTCTTGGAATTTCATGAAGCTGTCTGTATTCCTCTAACTGAAATATCTATTCCTTTTCTTTTGTGTGAGTGGGAGGAATATCTATTCATTGTTTCCCAAAAATTCGTCATAAATGATTTTCCCATTAATTCTCCAAACTGATTTATTTTACTTCGAATATATTCATACATACTGTATAGGAGTATGCTAGGAGTATACATGGATGAACTATAAAGTTTCAAATTAATCATTATTAATTTCTGATGAGATGCACCATCTTCCTCCTTCAGCACAACAACGGAGTCTACACAGTTGGTGACTTCATGACCAAAAGGCCTAATCTCCATGTCGTTACACCTGCAACCTCGGTTGATGAAGGTACTACCTTCTTCTCTACTTCTATAATATGAAGTATGTCCTAACTATGCTTGCTGCTAAACCAAATCGCCAACTTATTATTCTGTTCGTTTTTACAGCTCTCGAGACGCTGGTGCAACACAAGATCTCTGGTTTCCCTGTTGTTGATGACACCGGAAAGTTGGTTAGTGCCCATCAAAACTTCACTCTATTCAATCTTTTTCTACTTACTCTCTGCAATTTTTATTCTCAAAACAGTTATGCTTACAAGTCAACAACGTTGGGCTTTTCTCAAGGGGAAATGATTTATTGCTAAATAGTTATCTCAGTAACATGATTCTAGGATATTTTCTTTCTCAAACACGGTTTCAAACTTTATACCTTTTTACATGCTAAATTCGAACTAGTATGGTGATTCTACCTAAAGGATTTAGAGATCTTGGAATGCTCACATCTAGAATGTAGTGCTGATTCATAAAACGGTGTCCTTGTCCCCATGACATGCGGGCCTTTTGATCTCCTCTATTATGTTGTGTCTTAAGAAACATTACATTGACATTATGGTTGAATTGTATCTGATTTCTCATTCTGCCACTCAATCTTACTTCCACCTGCAGGTGGGTGTTGTCTCAGATTATGATCTGTTAGCACTTGACTCAATATCAGGTATTCCTTCTTGGACCTTCAAATCACTTGCTTACAACAAATTCATATTACTAGTACAATATTGCATCCTCTAAACTGCATAAGCCTAGTATTTGTCATTAACACACCATTGCACTACCATCTAACCATCTGCTTGCAGTCATACATGGTGGTCATTTGTCAATATCTTGATAGCCTGATAGGCAGGATCACAACTAGAAAGAACCATAAGTAGTGGCGGCTTGGACCATATAATCTTTTGCATACCTACAACCAAACCTTGTTTAAACCATAGCAACCATAACTTTGATCTGAAATTCTGAATGCAACAAAAGCTTTGCCCACACTGCAACTTTTCTGGAACTCTAAGCTGCAAAGATTAACTTGAGCTATTTAACTTATTTTTTGAAAGTATACTGTTGGGTAGTAAATGCCATAATCCTTGTATTCTTACATTGGTGGTATTTTAAATCCATTCTTTCAGGAAGTGGACTGACTGGCACAAACACAAGCATGTTTCCTGAGGTGGATAGTACTTGGAAGGTATGTTCTAATAAAGATAGAATGTTACATGTTTTTTTATATATATTTTCTAGCTATGCACCATTTTCTTAGATTGGGTTATCTTTACCACCTACTGCCAGGTGTTAGGATGGAATGGTCTGGTTTGGAATAAAAGCAATTTTTAATCATGGAAAATCCCCAGTTTCTATATTCAGAAGCAATGATCCTCCTTAAATAAAATGTTCCCACCACAAAGAACCTTCACATGTTATGACAAAATGCTGTTTGACTAAATAATAAAGTAGAAGTGTACCTTGCATAGTGGCTGATGTAATGGACTGTGTTAGGTCCAGCAAATTGTCACTTGTTTTCCCTATCAAGAATGTTGTTACCTCTCAACTTAGGATGCTTAGTCAGTATTGGGTTAAATACTAAATCCCGTATACCTTACATATATTTTGTAACAGTATTTACCACCCATTTTGTAGCACACCCCAGTAATGATCTTTAAAATCTTGGTATTCTTCACTCTTCATGCATTAGTCTGAACCACAATTTAGTACTTCAATTTGGTAAATATATTGTTTCTAGCATTTAAATAAATAATTAGTCATGCTCCACATATTGTTTGTAGTAGCAGATCTTTTTTTTTTATCTTTATCAATTATTTTTTATTTCACACGTTAATATATTAGACTCATTACGATCGCTGTACAGACATTTCGCGAGATACAGAGACTCTTGAGCAAAACCAATGGCAAAGTCATCGCTGATGTGATGACTTATTCGCCTCTTGCGGTTCGTGAAAGTACCAACCTTGATGCTGCTACAAGGTACCTACAAACAGTCCATTAGTTCTCAGGACCACGTCTACCAATTTATTATCAGACATCACGATTGGTGTTCATTTGTTTCAGGTTGCTACTTGAAACCAAATATCGCAGATTGCCTGTTGTTGATAGCACTGGTAAATTGGTGAGTTGATCTGCCTTTCCTTCCTTCCGCTTTCGTTTCAGTAGTATCTAGTCTTAAGTAAAGTTTCTTTTCTCAAGGTTGGGATGATCACAAGGGGGACTGTTGTCAGAGCTGCCCTCAAAATAAAGAAGACAGCTGAAGAAACTGCTTAAATTAGACAGTGTAGATGATTCTTTATAAGTCATTTCTGGGACTGCAGTCACTTGGAAATTTAGTCCACTGAAACATTATTTGGTGAAATGAACTACATCAGCCTTACAGATACTGCGAATTCGACAGTCAATTCTTCTTGGAACATAGATGGATATAGGTATTGTATTGTTGCAGATATTTGGAATATAGCCGCAATCTGTTTGGGGCCACCAGATTTGGTCGCCTCTCCTTATTAGGTAGCATAACATGGAGAATGTTATTATTTTTATTTTTACTTTTATCATTGACTTGTATTCAAGAACATCAGTGTATTGAAATGTAACACTTCTGATATGATGATACCTTCCGCATCTGGGTTGAAGTGAAAATATTTTCCAATGTTTAGATTATACAACGAACAAGGTTGTAAAAGGTAAATTTATAAGTTAGAGCCTACGTTTAATTTCATCATGGTAGTTGTGTAGTTTTTGAGAATGAAGTTGAAAAAGATTATATGTTTGTCAGCATACGAAGTAAAGGCCACCCCTTTTGCGTCACTGACGTTCTTTAAAAAAGAAAAGAAAGGTTGTAAGATCTTCTAAGTATATTTTTGGGGTTTATGTTAGTTTGATAGTTTCTAAAACTGATAAGTCATCCTCTTGACTTTTGTAACAATTCAATTTACTCCTAAACTATAATACTAGACATTTGACACCCATCCATGTTCATGCTACGTCGAGATCCTTGATCATCTACTCGACTGTTTGACGCCACCGTCATCTTTCCGAACATGTGCCATCGTGGCTTAGGGCTCATGGTGCTTCTAGACTCGTAGTCGGTAAGATTAGATTCTTAGTGAGCAATGAACTCATTTACGAAGGGACCCTACCTCCAATGGTAAGATACCGAAAATAAATTTGATAAAAAGATGGGTGCAGTAGTTGATGCCTATCGCAAAAGTAGGGAAGGGGAGGGTTAGTCATTTAAAATCAGACGTTACCCTTTTTATGATAATTTGTTTATAGTGGTGAAAAAATAATTCTTGAACCAGGGTGAAAATCATTGACTAAGTTATTAGGTTTGTCACATAGTGATGGTGTGATATGACACCTCATACTAATAAAATATGTTTTAATAGTACTGGTTGTAAATGACTTGTATGTTTAATATGTGTTTCATACTTTTAATAGTAACAACCATGGTAATTGTGTAGTTTTTTACTCTTTTGATTTATTTTGCTGAAGTTCCACTAGGAAACAATGAAGTTGGACGAGATTATAAGTTTGTCAGCATGTGAAGCAAAGACCACCCTTTTATAAAATAAAAGGTTGTAAAATCTTCCAAGTATTTTTTTGAGGGTTTACATTAGTTTCTAAAACTGACATGCAATCCCAGTCACTCTTAACCACTATAACACAGTTTAACTCCACATACACGGTACATCCAAATACATTCATAACAGTACATTTATAATTGTCTGGTAATCATGTGCAATTTACCCCAATCCCTTGACTTTTGTGATAATCCAATTTATCCCCTAAACAATAATACCATACATTTGGCATCCAACCATGTCCATGCTACGGCAAGATCCTTTGTCATCCACTCGACAGCTTGATGCCACCATCCTCTTCCGAAACCGTGCCATCATAGCATAGTGCTTATGCTGGTTCTAGATTTGTAGTCAATAAGACTATAATCGTAATCATAGTTACCAAGGAGCTAATTTACGGAGGAACCCTATTTCCAAGAGTAAGATGTTGAAGATGAAGTCGATCGAATAGGCAGGTGCAATAGTTGATGTCTATTGCAATTCTCAAAAGTGGATGGAGGGAGAGTTGTTTAAAATTGGATGTTACCCTTTTCATAATAATTTGTTTATAGTGGTGGAAAAATAATTATATAACCAAGGTGAAAAACATTACGGCTAAGCTAGCTAATGGATTTGTCATGTAGCGATGATGTGATATGGCACTTCATACTAATAAAACATGTTTTAATAGTATCTAGCTATGCTTATAATTTAGTATGTTTGTCATACTTTTGTTGTTTTCATATTTATTTTAATTTCAACTGGGCCATACAAGTGATATTGTTCAATCCAAATCAATAATCTTTTATGACGATATCAACGAAGTAACATAAGACAATGCATTTAAGAGCTCCTTGTAAGGCTCGAACAACAAATGGTAACAAATCAAATTGAAAATTTTCAATATAACAATATTGGTAAAGACAATCCATTAAGATTGCGAATAACCAACAACATATTATAAGTTTATGTGGCATTTTTAGTCGGACTAACTCTAACATATTTTTATCTAGTTTCACGCTAATAGTGTTGCCTAAACATGATAGCTCGATAGAAAGAAAATATAATAAATTTGCTCGTACATTGGTCCGTTTTAGTCTACCCACTCTATTTGTGGTTAAGTGACATGATTAAAATGTTACACAAATTTATATAAGTAGGTATAATTCAACTAGTTAGGTTCCTTGTGGTAGAACCGATCCACTTAGGTTCAAGTTCTAGATAGACTTGACACGAGTGTTTATATTTTTGGCTAATTATTCTTTCATTAAGTGGTAGACGACTTACTATGTGAGGCTGTATTCGGGAGCGCCACAGAAAACTATATATATGCATTAACACATGATTAATTAAATATTAGCTAATTCCTTTTTTAAAAAATAGATTAATATGATTTTTTGAAACAACTTTCGTATAGAAAATTAATAAAAATGTATCGTTTAGTTGTTTGAAAAACGTGCACACGGATAACGAGTGTAAGCGCGCGGTGAATCCATACGCTTGCGCTGTGTTTCTTACAAAGAAAAATAACTAGAAAAAATGCCCGTGCGTTGTAACAGGTGAAGTCTATTTTAATCTTATTATTGTTATATGGTTTAGTTAAGATAAAATTCACCGTGGGAGTTCGCTTGGATATATATATTTTTAGAAAATCATGAGCTACAGTTAGGAGTCCGATTGTCTCAAGTTAGCATGCGAGTTTTTTAAAAAAAGATTCTTATATGTTTCCTTCCGTATTACCAAAAGTAAACGATCTTAAAAATCGACTCAAATACCACGGATATGTATTTCCAAAAGCAAACGAACTTAAAAACCGACCCATACACGGATGACATATCAAAATACCGGCAAAAACATCTTTAATTTTTATAATAGTAGAGATAGAGATATGACACAAAATTTAATTTGGAAACCTTTTTTAAGTAGTACTATTAGTGGTTGTTTTTGCTCTACCGTTTTGGGTTGGAATTTGGAATAAGGAATACCTCTAGGTGATAGGTCCGAGTCCGGACGGAACCAGCTGGAATCCATCCACCGAAGTGGAAGCGCCGACCACGTCACGGATCCTTCGACTACGCGGACACGTGCACGGCCCATGTGTCCCGATAGGAGTCGTCGGATGGAGGGCGGAGGCGGACGGAGGGTGAGGATCCGATAAGGGTTTTGGGGGCGGGGGTACAAATACCGGGGCTCCCCGGGCCTCGCTGCCTCCCTCCCTCGTTGCCGCGCCGCAGTTGCAGTTGCAGTTGGGAGGCAAATCTCTCTCCCAACCCTTATCAAACCCTAAACCGAAAAAATTTACCCCCCAAAAAAATCCGCAAAAACAAAAAAAACCCAAATCGGAGATGGCGGCGGCGGCGGCGCAGGCGCAAGCGCAGCAGGCGGCGAGCTCCGCGTCCGAGGGCGGGTCCCCGGCCTCCTCCGCCGCGGCCGCTGCGGCGGCGGCCGCCTCCTTCCCGGCGACCTCGCTCTACGTCGGGGATCTCGACGTCAGCGTGCAGGACGCGCAGCTCTTCGACGTCTTCGCGCAGGTCGGCGGCGTCGTCTCCGTGCGCGTCTGCAGGGACGTCAACACGCGGAGGTCGCTCGGCTACGCCTACGTCAACTACAGCAGCCCCGCCGATGGTACCTCCCCGATCCGCCTCGCCCTGCTCGATTGCTGTTCTTTTCCCACGAATCTAGCATCTAGGTTTAGGTGGATTGCTTTTTTTTCCTTTTCCCAAGACGATTAGGGTTTGGTACTCTTTTTTTTTCTTTTCACACGTTTAGGGTTTGGTCTCGTCGGATTTTAGGGTTTGGTCTCGTCGGATTAGGTTTGCTACCGTCGGATTAGAATGCCATTAGAATTGATGTCGCTGCGGCAGTGTTAAAGCATGCATATTTCTTTTAAAAAAGATAGGAAGGCTGCCCTTCTTTTTTCTGACGTGGTTAGGGTCCTGATCCTCAGCGAGCTATTCCATTGCAGAAATAACTATGGTTTAGCACAAATCATTGCCTTCCCCCAATATAAATACATTTCAGTGGTTCTTATTTTCATATTTGTAATTCTACATCATGTTCGGTAATGTCCATTAATCTGTTATGTTGGAAGATAATGCAAATCATTTAAGATGGTACATAAACACCCCTATTGAGCATCACATTTCTGTCTAGATGGCAGGCACGATAAATTTTGATATGAATCCTCCTTAAATTGAGTAAAGTTATTATTTTTATAACGTTTGTATTGGAGATTTTGGGCTTTTGCTTATTTTGGTGTAATATCTCCTGTTCTAGTAAATGCTCTCATCTGCAGAGATGCACGTGAATCTGTTATGTCACCTAAAATTTTAAAACATTTGAGATGCCATGACTAATATGCAATAATTTCTAAGTTGTGCTGCCTTTGGGAAACTTGCACATTTTAAAATTCTTTGCCTAACAACATATATTTATTTACTACTGGCTATGATAGTTGTCTATTTCCTTTTCTTACAGAATATCCACATGCATCTACAATGGTTTTATTTGTTGCTTGACTTTTGTATTAGTCCTTTCATACTAAATACGTTATATCTATCTTGCAGCTGCACGAGCGTTGGAAATGCTCAACTTCACTCCTATCAATGGAAAACCTATCAGGATCATGTATTCTAACCGTGACCCCAGCTTGCGCAAGAGTGGCACAGCAAATATTTTTATCAAGGTATCTGTGCCCACTCTTGAAAGCTATTTTTTCATCTTTTTTTTTTGTAGTTTGACATCCTGACTTCTCTTTTTTCAGAACCTTGATAAGTCGATAGACAACAAAGCTTTGTATGATACTTTCTGTGTGTTTGGAAACATTCTTTCATGTAAAGTTGCAACAGATGCTTCTGGAGAATCGAAGGGCTATGGCTTTGTTCAGTATGAGCGGGATGAGGCAGCTCAAGCTGCTATTGATAAACTCAATGGCATGCTTATGAATGACAAAAAGGTGTATGTTGGGCCTTTCATTCGTAAGCAGGAGAGGGATAATTCTCCAGGCCAGGTCAAGTTCAATAATGTCTATGTAAAGAACCTGTCTGAGAATACTACTGAAGATGACTTGAAGGAAATCTTTGGAAAATTTGGAACCATCACTAGCGCTGTTGTAATGCGTGAGGGAGATGGAAGATCCAAGTGTTTTGGATTTGTTAACTTTGAAAGTCCAGATGATGCTGCTCAGGCTGTCCAAGAGCTGAATGGCAAGAAGTTTGATGATAAGGAATGGTATGTTGGAAGGGCACAAAAGAAATCGGAAAGAGAGATGGAATTGAAAGAGAAATTTGAGAAGAACCTTCAAGAAGCAGCAGATAAGTATCAAAACACTAACCTGTACCTGAAGAACTTGGATGATAGTGTTGATGATGATAAGTTGAGGGAGCTTTTTGCTGAGTATGGCACTATTACTTCCTGCAAGGTTTGTTTACTTGTCTGCCTATGCATGTGTTTCAATGCTTATCAATTTCTGGTGCTAATAATAGAAACTGTGCCATAGGTGATGCGGGATTCAAATGGTGTCAGCAGAGGTTCTGGATTTGTTGCGTTTAAATCTGCTGAAGATGCTTCCCGAGCTGTAAGCTGGATGTGTATGCATGATATTTAGGTTGCTATGTTTCACAGATAATAATGTCTTGCTTTAATGTCTCCCTACAGCTTGCCGAAATGAACAGCAAGATGGTTGGCAGCAAACCGCTCTACGTTGCGCTTGCACAGCGCAAGGAAGACAGGAAAGCAAGGCTGCAGGTAAGAAATGATCGATGACCTTGTTCTTTGTTTTTATGAGGACCATGAGGTTCCTCAATTGGCCAGTTTTGAGAGTAGCATTGTGTGTACTTTTTGCACGTCACAATGTGAGTGCGGGTGTTATTTATGCATAGAAGAGTGCGGTAGCTAATATTCTGTGATGTCTCGCATTTTGAATAGAATTCTGGCATACCAATAAACAAGCTGTCATTAGATTGAATTTTCTTGGCTCACATAACTTGCATGTTTTTCATTATAATGCTTATTATTACTTTCTGTAGTATGATGTTGGTGGCTATTCCTTACTTTTGCAGGCACAATTTTCACAACTGAGGCCTGTCCCACTTGCTCCTTCAGTTGGTCCTCGCATGCCCATGTTTCCACCTGGTGTTCCTGGAGTTGGACAGCAACTGTTCTATGGTCAGCCCCCTCCAGCGTTTATCAACACACAGGTAAATAAGGCTTAATTTTCTTATTGATGTGTTCTTTTGACATCTTCTCTTTCCATAATAATCCCCCTTTTTTTTGGTGTTGTGTGTTAGTGTGCACAATTTCTTTCTTTCATAAGTTTTAGTGGTATCTTCTTACTGCTTTCGCTTGTGACCATTTGCTTTGACTATTTGGCGGTTGCATAGTAATAAGTTCTTGCTGACAAATGCAAGATCATGATGTAACGTTTAATGCCACTGTTTAATTTCCAGTCCTATTTATAAAGATTATTCCTGTAAGAATATAGCAAACAATCATGTCCTAAAGGCTTTTATGATAATTATGAGGTGATCGAATGCTAGTGTTGTTTCCTTTGTGCATTTAGATTAAGTGGTTAAATGATATTGATTGAACTTAGACATATGTCTTACTGTTTTCTGATTATGTCTCATATATTGGTCTTAAGAAAATACTACATCCAACCTGAAAGTATAAAGCTTGCTTATATGTAGTAAGTGGCAAATAATTTTATCTAGCAAATTGATGTCTTCTTATTCTGTGTTGCATTTATGAATGTTATACTGGCGCTGTATTTTTAACTTTGCAACATTGATCATTTTCCTCATTTGGTTTTGCAACACAAGATGGTCATTAACACTACACTTCTTTTGGTTGATAAGACATGCAACACTAAGTTGTGAGCATTCAGTTGTTTAATCATGCATCTAGAGCTCTATGTTGCTTGCTATTCCTGTTTGCCGAGGAGACACAAAACTGTAGTAATATATAACCCGTCCAAAATTTGACACTGTTAGATGGTCAAGTGCAATTTACATTTGTTTCATAGGAATAGTCCAATAGTTTTTTTTTGTCTTGTTATGATGGACTGGGTGGATACTTAAGATTGTTTATATGATTTGCTGGCTTGACAATTTTACCTTTTTTTATTATAGCCTGGTTTCGGCTTCCAGCAGCCTCTTATGCCTGGGATGAGGCCAGGTGCAGGTCCAATGCCGAACTTTATCATGCCTATGGTTCAGCAAGGACAACAGCCGCAGCGTCCGGCTGGTAGGCGTGCTGGTGCTGGTGGAATGCAGCAACCCATGCCAATGGGTCAGCAACAGGTATGACATATTTGTGCGTGTATGCTGAACATATAATAATTTTCCGTAAGCATTCCTGTAGTGTTAATTTGACAATTCCCTTGTGTATCGAGTGCCTGCTGAAATATAGTTAATGCTGCAGATGATGGCTAGGGGCGGCCGTGGCTATCGGTATCCTACAGGACGTGGCATGCCTGATCCTGCAATGCATGGTGTTGGGGGTGGTGTGATGCCATCTCCATATGAGATGGGAGGCATGCCCATGAGAGATGCTGCTGCGTCACAGCCTGTACCTATTGGAGCATTGGCTACTGCACTGGCCAACGCAGCCCCTGATCAGCAAAGAATGGTTTGGGACCTCATGCCTTTCTCTGTTTCTTATGCATAGCGTGAACGTGTTCGTCTTGAAGCGTGACCCATTTGTTCATTGATTGTTGCAGATGCTTGGTGAGAACTTGTATCCTCTTGTTGATCAGCTGGAGCATGAGCAGGCTGCGAAGGTGACTGGCATGCTGCTGGAGATGGACCAGACTGAGGTGCTGCACCTGCTCGAGTCTCCAGAGGCTCTCAAGGCCAAGGTTGCTGAAGCCATGGAGGTCCTTCGCACGGCCCAGCAGATCCAGACGAACGCGACGCCTGAACAGCAGCTTGCTTCTCTGTCGCTGAATGACGGCGTCGTTTCCTCCTAAGCATAACGACGACAGCAATTTTTGATCCATATCTCAGTTATCTTATCTATCTAGAATTGAAAACGACTTGGTTACTTGGTTTATTGGAGTTTTAGTTTTATTGGTAGTTGAACTAGGCATTTAGGCAATGCGCGTGGATTGGGTATTTTGTTTGCTCGGATCTTTTATTTTGCTTTATAAGTTATCATATGGATTGCTACTTTATGTCTTCTGGTAGCATCTTTTATTTTGTGGGTGATGCATGATTTAGCAGTCTTGATCTGCACCAAATGAAGCAAACTTTGGCTACTTTGTTGGCTTCACCGGTGTGAGCATACTGCGTCTTCAGTCTTCACTTGCTTTAGAAATTTCCATTCGGTCCTTGCGGTGAATATATACGATCATCACAATTACACATTTTCTTGGCTGGTACTCCCTCCGTCCTAAAATATAATAACAACCCTCCTAAAATATAATAACTTTTAGCCCTAGAATTTGTCCCAAAATATAATAACTTATCTACCAATATTTTCTCCTTAACTAATTACAATTCTCTATCATTCATCTTTTTTCATCTATCTTAACTGCTCATCCAACTATAACCCTTCACCATTTATCGGAGGGAGTAGATAATTATAAACAGTTTATGCGTCCGTCCCCGTAGAGAATTACTAAGAGCAAAATGACCTTCACCACTTATCGGAGGGAGTAGATAATTATAAACAGTTTATGCGTCTGTTCCCGTAGAGAATTACTAAGAGCAAAATGAGGAATTCCTTTAGAACACAACATAAGATGGCGGATGGCCGCAGGTCTCTTATTCTACAGCGGCAGTCTCAAACTTGGCCTAGCCCAACGACGAGCAGAGTTATAGCTGCTCTCTCGGCCTAGGAGTGTTTGGGTCTAAGACTCTAAGGCAGGTAGAGAGATGGCCCTAGTGAGGTACTCTCTCCGTCCCAAAAAAGCCAACCTAGTACAACGAATCTGGACAAAGGGCTATCCATATTCGTTGTACTATGTGGGAGTAATGGGCTAGCTGTCCAGATTCGTTGTACTAGGTTGGCTTTTTTTTAGCACGGAGAGAGTAATAGGCTTGGTTAGTATTCTATTTATTTATAATCCACATATGTCGGCTTTCTTTTCCAAAGAAAAAACCATATTCATATCTGAATCAGCCACTCAACTACTTATCCAAATCCTCCAAAATTTTAATATCCAATCTGTTTTCATCTCTACTTATAAGCAGTATAGGCCGGTTAATCATAATGGTCACACATGACTACTATGATGATATGTTCTTAGATAGATGATGCAATCTTAGATGGTAGGGAAAATTTGTAAAATTCACCATAAACGTCACCTTGAGCTTGAGATTTCCTCTATAATATGATTTGTTTTAAACACCTTCTAATTCACCTTGGTTTGATATTCCTCCCCAATTAGCAATTACCATTATTCACATGTTATTTCTTCACGATCGTGAAATGGAGTTTGCTGTCATGAGAATGGGTAATGAGAATGAGTGAGTAACGATAACTAAGAGGAATCCTAAACCAAAATAAATTAGGAGGGGGTATTTGCGGGGGATATTAAACTCAGGGTGACATTTAGGTTTACTTTTGCATTTGAGGGCCCACAAATATATTAAGAAGAAGAAAATGGTATAGGGCTAATCTAATTTGCTCTTTGGTTTGAAATCCTAGGCTTGCCCTAAGCATATTGGCCCATATTTGTGTCTTGACAAAAATAGACACGATCATGACCGTTGGTCTGAATCGTGCGGCATATCTGATGGGTATTGAGGTCTTACAAGTAACAAATACTTGTTTGTGCAACCCTAGACCCACCATTATCTTGTCCCCCTTCCCCCCGCCGCCGCCGCCGCCGCCATTTGACCTCCATCTCTGGATTGTCATCACAATTTTTTTCTTTTGTCTAGCTTCTCTGCGCTCTACTTGCGAGGTTGATCACGATCAATAGGTCCTTGATTTCTTCACCATATCGTTGTTGCTGCCATCGTCACCGTTGCCACCACCACCACATCAAGGAGATTTGGTGTATAGTTTTTTTTTTAACAAATAAGTCGCCAGCTAGACATAGCTAGATAAGTCGCTGTCATCTTGCTCTCTTTGTTTGTGGAAGGTGGGTGAAGGAGAAGGAAGCAGATCAGATGGTGCGGCCGGGGAGAGGACAACGGCGGATCGATGCTGCCATTGACCACCTATCAGAGTATGGCTTTCCGAGGCCCATAATCCGTCAGACCATCAATGAACTCCTCGCGGACACGGTAATCTGTCTTGATGTTTTTCTAGGTTATCTTCGTGTCCTTAGAAGGTTGCTAATTGAACTTAATTTCAGCTGTATGGGAGGAATGGGTGGGTCTTCCTAGAGGAAGGCTCCTACCGCATTGTGGTCGACAGACTACTCGAAAAACAGGCAAATCAGCAAGAGCAGCAGGAGGAAGATGCAAAGGTTTTCTTTTCTTTCTTCCTGCGCTCATAGTTTCTCAGTTCCATTTTTATCTGCTTCGGTGTTTGTTGTGCGGAGCAAGTGTTTAAGTTGCAGTAGTGAGTGACGCAACTAGTAATGTAGCAAGAAATTTTTCATTAGGTAGTCTCACTTCAAAAGTTCATATAGTAACATCACATACCAAAATTTTCGGACACCGTAAATCCCATATATAGATATGAGTACAAATTTATATATATAAAAAAGATACAAATGTAGCAAAGTGCAAAACAAATAGAAGTCACAAATCAAACTTTGTTATGCTCTCCGTTTAGGGTTATTTTGTCAATATTGTTGAGCATGTTTTGCAATACAAGTGAACATCTCAAGAAGATAGACTCTTTATATCTGTTCATCAATGAAAATGAATCATGAACGTAATATAAATTGCACGAAGATAGTATAGTAACATTTTACTACCATTAATTCGGGTTTGCACATATGGACTTATATTTTCAGCAGTATTAAAATGTTAAAATGCCAGATGCATACGCTAATTTGGAGTGATTAGAGTGATCAAATAATTGGCCAGGAAAAAAAAACCAGAAAGCTATTAAACCCCAGTACCCCACCTAGTTTTCCATGGACAGACAAGTCAATTGTACTTCCTCCATTTCATATTATAAGACTTTATATCATTGCCCATATTCATATATATGTTAATGACTTTAGACATATATATGTATCTAGATTCATTAACATCTATATGAATACGAACAATGGTAGAAAGTCTTATAATATAAAACGGAGGGAGTAGCTCACAATCGTGAAGCGAGAGAGACGCGACCGGCTTCCACCGACAAATCAGCTAGATGAGCCCTATAGGAAGCCAGGAAAAGGGGCGAACGGTGGCCGAGGGGTTGGCGGCCAACGACAAACGCCGTGATGGCCTGATGGTTGACGGGCGGGAAGGGAGACATAGCCGGGTTCTCAAATGGCCTCCCGGGACCTCCACGGCTCGAGGAGAGGTGGACTAGTGGAGAGAGATGTTGACGCACCGAAGTGAGTGTAGGATCGAGATGTCGACTAGAGGGGGGGGGGGGGGGTGAATAGGCGATTTAAAGAATAAATAACACCTAATCAAATCTAACCTAAGTTGCTAGGCTTGGTGAGGGTGAACTCTAACTAAGCAACTAAGTTATGTTTTGCAAACCTAGGGTGATAGTGGCTCAATTATATCTCTAGGAAAGTAAATTGCACAAATGTAAATGCGACAATCAAATGAGACAATGAGACAAGAGATTTTTCACCGAGGTTCGGAAACTCGCCGGTTTCTTACTCCCCGTTGAGGCAAGCCCAACTCCACCGCTCAACCACGAAGCCACCGCACGCCCCCTTCGTCAAGGGGTGGGCAAGGCGGGAGCCGGCCCACGGAGAGGACTACCCAAGCCTCGATCACTCGGGGTAGTTCTTCCTTCACTCCGAAGGTGGTGAACTCCAAACCACTCACAAACCGGCACTGGGCCTCCTCCACAATCTTCTCGGAGAGGTCACCGGGCAACTCCTCCACAAGCCGTCTAGGAGGCGGCAACCTCCAAGAGTAACAAGCAATGACCCGGTGTGGAGATGATCAAGTGCCACACTAGCTCTACAATGGAAGCAAATGCACTTGACTCTTGGCTAAACAACCCTCTAACACACTAGATGGATGAACATAAAGCTCAAGTGAGTGTGAGAGAGGTGCAAGGAGTGTATGCAATTGAATTGGGTGCCAAGAGAGCCCCCTTGCTGCTGGTGGGGGAGTATTTATACTCCCACCCACCAAAACTAGCCGTTGGGGGCGAAATCCCCCAACTCTGTGCTCTGCCGGTCTGACCGGAGGTATGTGGCCGGTCAGACCGTGCTACTCAACTAGCCGTTGTAGCCCTGTCAGAGGGCCCCATTGGCCTGGCCAGTCAGACCGGCATGGGGTGGCCGGTCAGACCGGCCTCGGCTCGGTCAGACCGCCATCGGCTCGGTCTGACCGAATACGGCTCCGTCGGCTCTGTATCGGCCATCCTGAGCAGCACCATCTCGGCCTCCAGGGGGCCGGTCTGACCGCGCAAATGCCACCGGTCAGACCGGCCTTATGCTCCGGTCAGACCGCCTTCTTGCGGCCGGTCAGACCGGCCAGGGCACGCCGGTCAGACCGCCACTATGTGGCCGGTCTGACCGCCCCTGGTCAGGCCGAACCCAGTGAATTTGCAAGTGAATGTGTGCGTGATGAAAAAAAGAGCACAAATGAAAATGCAATGACCTAATGTGGCAATTATAATCATCTCTTTGCTAGGTCATTACCCTTCTTAATAGTACGGCGAAACTAAAAATAAACTAGCAAATTTGATCGCCCTACACCTCGATCAATTCTAAATTAAAGCGCTAGTTTTACCGTCTTCTTTCCCTTTGCTTTGCGTCGTCAATTTTAATCCATCGATAATCATCCATGCACACATATGACGTGGACCTAACTTAAAATGTATAGCTCAAAGACAACGGTTAGTCCACAATTAGCACTTATCATTAATTACCAAAATTAACACCGGGGGCCTAGATGCTTCAGTGAGGCAACACGATGAATGTGTACACCACGGTGCCACAGCAAAGGGAACCACGAGGCTCAGGCGCTCAGCCCTAGTTAGGAATGACAACAGCTCTGCACCTGTCGGTTTCATCACCCCATTCCCACCCTGAGGTAAAGGGAATCATCCGTTCCCATCTCCATCCCCACGTTGTTGTAGGTTTTCCCGTCCGTCCCTGCAGCGGGTATGGGTCACCCATGGGTCTTTACACCCGACAACACTATCAAAATATAAAGTGCAAGCCAGGAACAATCCCCAACCCAGGTGACAATTAGCCTATTATTAATGTATTGAGTATGCAATTAGCAGTGAAATCATCATTAAATCGGCTGATTGAACACAAAATTGACCCAAAAGAATAGGCACAAGCAAACAGAGTGTAACTTCAGTGCTTGAAAACAAGTCAACCTTCCGTGCTGTTAGCCTGCTACAGAGCAGCAAGATGTTTCCTTCAAAGAGAAAGCCAAGAAGTTAACGTAGATAACTAACTCTGGTAGCATACAAATCAACTACTAGCTGACTGCTGGTTGGTGATGAGTCCGCAGTAGTGGAGCTAGACCTTGGGCGTGCGGCCTGGTTGCCTTGTCTCCTAGAGACATGCGGCGTGGCTTGGATCCCTTCACACGAAGGCGTCGGCCATCGGTATCGACTGTCGATCTGGTGTCGGCCTGGAGGTCCTGTAGGCTGGAGGCGACGAGGCAGCGCATGGATCTGGATGGAGGGAAGCGGCGGAGGAGAGGACTCTATCAACAATGTGAGTGTGGGATCTAGGGTTTTGGGGGCGTATATGGTGGTGTTCTTTTTTTCTAAAGATGAAGATGACGTTTTTTTACGCAAAACGATGTGATATTAATGTATGATTGATTGAGTTTTAATCATTACAAACTTGAAAAGTAGATTAATATGATATTTTGGAGCAACTTTTATATAGAAAATTTTTACACGAAACACACCATTTAGCAGTTTGAAAAGCGTGCCATGAAAATCTTAATCTTCATCTAGCTCTTGTTGGAGAAAGAACGGGACCTATATCTGAAGTAGATCATAACAGTTGGGTTTTTAATATCTATATGGGTGTGAGTTAGGCCAATCTAGATTGTAGGCCTTGACGCGTCCAAGTAAAGTGTCACTATTTTGGCAAACTAGACCATTGGGCCTAGGACTGCTGCATGGCCATATTGTACTAGGTAACCTACTACAGACAAGTCAACTACAAGCCAACATCGAGGCATGCATATGCATGCTCCTAATGATATAGTCATGTATCCTCGCACTAGAAGGATAGAATGAGATATGGTGGCACATGCCTGGTTCATTTGAATGATCAACGTGCAAGTATCCCTCAGCAGGGAAGGGGATCCTTTTTTTTTTGCGGGGAAGGGGGGATCCATTTGATCATGCTTGGTTCCTCAACAATGGAACAACAAGCCACACGATGGGTGTCGTGATGCCTTCTCCAAGCTTGGTAGCTTTTGTAGGACTGCCAAGTTTGGGGACGTCTCTAGGGTCTGCATTGATGGTCTTGGCATGATGCTCTTCTTCTATAAGTTCGGCGATCACTAGCAATGTCAAGAGTCTAATATATTTCTTGACTATTCAACAACTGGGAGAACTCACTGAGGCTTGTTCGGTGCTCTGGGTTCCCAACTCCTGTCCCACGTTCTCCGCGTGCACGTTTTTCAAACTATTAAACGGTGTTTTTTTTTGCAAAAAGTTTCTATACAAAAGTTTCTTAAAAATCAAATTAATTCATTTTTGAAAAAAATAGCTAATACATAATTAATCACACGCTAATGGATTGCTCCGTCTTCCGTGAGAGGATACAGGTTACTAACCCCAAGTTACGAACACACCCTGAGTCTAGATGAAAAGCTATGGTTGAGAACGATGTCACGTAGGTTCAGGATCCTAAGTGGCACAGCGTGGCTGTATGTTCTCAACATCACGCTTGTATAGCTGGTGTGCCATGGAAAGACCTTGATTTCACCTATCCTGAATTTATTCGCAATAGATCAATATAGGTCTAGAACTTCTAGTCTCGGTCCGAAAGTTCTCGTCAAATTACTGAAAGTTCTAGTTAGCAAGAATATAGCCCACGAAGGGGAAATCACAATAAGCATGATTTGCACAAGGTAGATACAACAATATGCTATGTAAATTGATAGGTAAACATTGCACAAGCTATCACAATGCAACCTCACGAAGAGAATAGTAACCCAAACACAATAACGGTAGAGAGAGAGAACCAATTCTTTTTACCAAAGTTCGGATCCAACGATCCTGTCTCCATCGAGAGGCTCCTACAAGCTGAGTTGCATTCAACCCTAAAACCCACCAATTAAATTGGTTCTTACTCAGTTTACCCCTTTTACTTATGGAGGTGGAGTAGAACCTCCAAAAACTTCC